TTTTTCACTAATGGCATTGACTCTCCAAGAGCCATAGTTAGTTAAATACGGTACGGGAATTAAACGGCGTTTAATACGTAAGTGTTTTATTGGGTAACAAGAATGAAAGAGACGGTCAAAAATTCGTTGAAAAATACGTTGACTTTTAAAAAACGTATGAATACGAATATGTGTATAATACGGTGTATGTTACAAAAATTCGGACAAAAACTACGGGGTATTATTTTGAACATTTAAAGTATATACTTCACAAAATAAGATATATTGTAAAAATAAATAATAATATACACATTTTCAAGTAGCAAATCTCAATACCACATAAAAGAATAATTTGTTATTTCATAAGTCGATGAAAACAATAAAAATTGTAATTAAGTTCAAGACATAATTTTGCAAAATAAAGTCAAAAAATGAGGAATACTAACAATAGAATGAGACTAAGTTAAAATCATTGTCTTTATATGATCATCAAATATCACTCAAGTCAAATTCATGATTTTCATCAAGATGATGAATGACATATCAGAGAAGTACGTTGTGTGACTGCTACGTACACTTATTATTGTTTATGTGTAAAAGTTTATACTAAAAATATGTCAGGTTCAGAAAAAACGTGAAGTTTGATATGATTGATTGGAAAAACATCATAAATCCAATAGTATTTCAAGTTTTGGTCTTTTAGGAAGCTAACTTTATCCGCCATGCAAATAACTTTATTGGTTAATAATTGCATTGTAACAATACAAGAACATGAGATCACGAGGAGAGATTTTCCCTTTTTCTTTTAAGCTATTATTGATCTACTATGCATTTAATTCACTAATTCAATTGATCATTTCATGTTTCTATTTTTTGTAAAATATAGAAAAAATACGTTTTATACGGGAAGTAGGAGTTTTTTTCCTTTTAAAACGGACCGACATTATTTTTCGTTTTAAACGCGTTTTTTTTGTGTAAAAAAAACGGTACATGTTTAAAATGCGTTTTAAACGGAAAAAAACTAACTAGGCCAAGAACTACTCATGTCCTTGCCCTTTCTCACCTTCTGGTTTTGCTCACCAAGCCCTCCAGAATGTCTAACACTAGTTTAGAATACATGGGTATATTTTTAAACTACCAACTAGTCTAAGCTCTATTGATATGTATGAATTATAACTAGTCTAAGAGCATTAGACGAGTGGGGTGGCGGCCTAAGTGTAGGAGGGAAATCAGCTGACTTGATTTCTTCGTGTAGAGTATGATTCCTTTCTAACCACTTGGCTCCTTTACTTGTTTTTCCACTTGTCCACCACACCTGGTTAACACTCACTCCTTCTGTATTTATAGACTTGATCATTGAATCTCCACCGTTGGCTGAGGAAATCAATCTTGACTGTAGCTTGATCTACTTGCTTTGTTCCACTTGAGTGAGACAGCATGGTTTGTCTTTGTCACTTAGTGACACGGATCAACAATCTTCAGCTCAACTTGTTTACACATTTCAATGCAAGATAAGAGATATTTTTATCTTTAATTTTTATGCGCATAAACCAGTATAAAACTCAGTGATATTTCAATGCTTCCTTACAACGAACGAACACTTACTTTTGTAAAATAAATTTATAAGAAATTTATGATGTGATAAAAATCTCTTATAAATTTACTTTTGAACAATTTGTTCTTTTGTCTGCAAGTTGGTCTTTTATCTAAGTGTTTTGTGGCAAGAGAAGAGAGAATTGGATTTCGGGTGAGTTAGCTGAAAACCCAGCTTTCGGCTGGCTACCAAGCATTTTAGCTGGCTGCCCAGAAAATCAGCTGCCTGCTGAATTCTGGAGTTTTCCAGTTAGCTCATTCCTAAACTATGAATACCAGTTAACTCTTTTCGTACATTTTCTCTTTTTTTGATCTTTTTCTTTTCTTTTGTTTTATGGTACGTTTAACTTCTCTTTTTAGTACTCTTTGCTTTTTATGAGTACTTTACCACTAAATATGTAGCACATTACAAATAAACAAAGTAGAACATAGGTAGTAGACTAGTCCAATACAGGAATAATAAAAAGGGAGGACATCATCAAAACTATTACACTATCATCAAAATCTAGGGGACCTAACATTAACATTGACATAAAGTGTAGTTACCAAATCAAAAATGAAAAAAAATATAAAATCCTAACATTTCTCTAATGTCATGCCATAACTCTCGCATGGAGTGCATTATATTTAATTAAACGTTAAAACTAAAGTTATCAAAACTAAAAAAACGATAAACTGAGGTGCCATAACTTAAGTGCATGAAGTGCATTCTATATCGTGCCGTGAACGCAACATAAAGTGCAATAAATGTCATGCAATTACGCCTTCATAAAGTGCATTATTTTTATCGAGCTGAAAGTAGTGTAAAATACATCTTTTTTAATGTAACAAAATTTCTGTGAAAAAGGGTATTTCCGTGACTCCGTCCTTTCACAATTTAATAAAAAAAAATTCTTTTTTTGGATTTTTGGCCATATTTCGGGAAAAAAACATAACTAGTCACATTTCAGGACACTCACTTTGTTTTGGTCATATCCAGGGAAATTTCTCTATATACAAATATATTTATAGGGGGAGATGCCATGCAAACTAAGATTCCGGTGCAAATCTACAAACCAACGGCATCTGCTGGATTTAACCATGGAGAAGATTGATGCATTATTGAAATGCTGCACTCAGCCGTAGGTGATAAAAACGGATAACACCGTTTGAGATGATTTGGTCAATTAAAAGGTCATAGAGGTAATTTAATAAAACAAAAACAAAGTCATCCCATTAAATGTTGATGTATTGTAGCAACATGCGTTTTTTATTTAGCAAGGTTTGAAATATGAAATCATTGGTTTTACTCAGACATCTCATTTAATTAACCGTCCAAGTAATAACCTCCCATTTATTTAATGATGAATTCTAAATAAAGAAAGATATTGCTTCATAAGTAACCTTCCATTTTTAACAATAAAAAGGGATAAGTTTGAGAGGTCTAAATTGCATAAGTTAATTTATGGAATGAAGCGTTTCATAAAAAAATATCCATTTTTGAAAATTAAAGATGGCAAGATGGGTAGCTATTGATTGCATAAGTGAATAGTTCAACATAATTTTATGAAGCACAACATATTTACTTGAAGTGTATAATAAGGCTATGTGATATGCATATTAAGGTTATATGATGTGCATATTAAAGTCATATGATATGCATTAAAAATGCAAGATGTGCATTATACATTCATAATATCTACATAACTTATATTAGAAGTACATAGTTATAAAATATGTTGATGTTGCATTTTAGCATTTCTTTTTTTTTCGGAGGAGCCACTAAAAGTGGGGAAAGCGCTGGGGAACACTTTCCAATTTTATTAAAAAGGTAAAATTACAATGCATGAGTTGAAATGAAATATTACAAGATAAAGCACAAAAGAAAGAGTTAACAATTAAAGTTTTTGTCAGGCACCCCTAAAGAGGTTGAGAGAGATGGATTGTACTTATTGTGAAAACGGATGGCTCGTTGAAGATAAGGAGGGTAGGTCTTTGCCTCCGGGTGTGATTCCTTGAACCGTTTGAGTCTTGTAACTAGCTTGTGAGGTGACTCATAACTGGAGTAAATCGGATAGATAAAATAGTCTTTGTCATCTTGAAGCGTTGTTGATCGGCTACTGGTTTCATATGTTGCATTGTATCATCATGACATCTGCATTTTAAAAGTTCGTACATTGCACTTAAGTAAGATGATATGTGTTCTTTAATAGTTCATACTGCATCTTATTATCAGTATTACATTTGCATTTTTTTAGTTCAGATGTTACATTCTACTATTATGACATGTGCATTTTGGAAGTTCGTATATTGCACTTTAGTAAGATGATAAAAGCACATTAATAGTTCATATTGCATCTCATCGCTATGACATCTGCATTTTAGTAGTTCATATGTTGCATTTAGTCATTATGCATGTGCATTTTAGAAGTTTATAGACTACATTTTAATAAAATTGTATGTGCACTTTAGAAGTTCATACATTGCATCTTAGTGAGATGGCGTGTGCATTTTAATTCATATGATTCATCTTATCATTATCACCTTTCATATAATCATATGCACTTTAAAAATTCATACTGCATCTTATTATTATGGCTTCAGCATTATATACTCAATTCACATGCATACTAAATTCACGAGGTTACATAATGCACAATACAAGTAACGTAAGAACATCATAAATGTTTCAAGCAAATTAATCACTTAAGCAATTTTATTTTTGCATAAACACGAATTTGATGAATTACATGAAGACATATAATTAAGATTTGTGACAATATGAGATTTTAGTAGACTTGTATGGACTTCTCAAGATTGCGTGAATTTTTAAGTAAGACATTTGAAGATATTTATGGATTGTTTACATATTTGAGATAAAGGGTGAAGCTTTCTGCAAGGTATCTGATGGTTGGTGTAAAGTGTGAAGCTTTTTGCAAGATTCAGGTCATACTTGCAACTTACCAATTTTCTTGAAAGTGGAAGCTCTAGGGTGCTCACAAGCTTTATTTCACAATTCAGAGATTCACTGGGTTTTGCAGACCACAACACAGAAGTTTTCGGCGACCAATTTTCGGCAGAGTTAGGGATTCGTCCGGCTGGGAAAGAAATCGAGACACACATGGAACATGATTGAATGTATATTAAATATATATATGAGGAATGTTCATGTCAGGCCGGCTTGACGGGCTGCTCCGTCCGGCCGAGCCCGTTTGGGCACCTTCCCGGTGGAATTTTTTGATGAAATTTTTTGAGCTGTTCCTCATCAAGTCTAGTTTGTCCATACCAAATTTCAGCTCAAAATTCGATCGGGAAGGCATTCAAATCATTTTTTGAAGTTGATTGCAGTTTTATATGTATATTTTGACACATTCAACTTCAAAAAATGATTTGAATGCCTTCCCGATCGAATTTTGAGCTGAAATTTGGTATGGACAAACTAGACTTGATGGGAAACATGCTCAAAAAAATTCATCAAAAAATTCCACCGGGAAGGTGCCCAAATGGGCTCGACCGGACGGAGCATCCCGTCAGGCCGGCCTGATGAGAAGAGCACTCTATATATATATATATATATATATATATATATATATATATATATAGAGAGAGAGAGAGAGAGAGAGAGAGAGAGAGAGAGAGAGAGAGTAATGATCCGGTCAGGAGCTCCTGACCGGAACCGCCGTCCGGACCAAGGCGTTTGGCCGCCTTCCCGGTGGCTTTTTTTGATGAAATTTTTATGACATGTTCTCCATCAAGTCTAGTTTATCCACAAAAAAATTCAGCCAAAAACTCAATCGGGAAGATCGTCAAATGATTTTTGCAAGTTAACTGGTCCGGAATATGTATTTTTCGGACCAGTTAACTTACAAAAATCTAGGTAAGCAACTTGCAACTACCTTAATATTGAAAGTTTTAATAAAGTACATGTAGATTTATTTCTAGGTTTGCTATTATTTGATCAACAATTAAGGAGTAATATTAGTGTCACCACAGGTGGGATCCACGTTGACTCGTTTACCAGGGCTGATGTCGCTGAGATAATCATCACCGTCGATCTGGTCCAGCACGAGGACCAAGCCCATTGCAAAGGCCCCATCAAAGCCAGGATTGAGTGTGAGTGAGAACACGTCCTTACCAAGCACCACATTCGTTGATAAGTCTACTTTCCGACGAATCTCCGCCACGCATTCCTTGTCGGCGTTGTACATCGTGCAGCTCCGGTGGGCGAACGACCCTTCGATGGTGTACTCTTCGCTTGGAGTGTGGTACACCTCGACCGCCACGCTCGACCGTCCGATTATCGACGACCGCCGCACGCTAAAGATCGGATTCTGCCCCTCCACTCTCTCCCCTAAGTACCCCTCCCATCGGTTGTGCAGGCTCGGCCTCTTCCGCCGGACGGAGAGGAGGCATTTTCCGGCGGCGTCCATGAGGACGACTTCGCTCCGGTCGCGCGCATCGGGGCCGTAAGTGTCTACGCGGAAGAGAAGTCCGCCGTCGCAATCGTAGGCGGAGAATCCATCTCCGGCGAAGAAAAGAGATGTTTTCCGAACAGTCAGCTGCTTTTCTTCGGCGTATACGTACCCTTCGTCTATAATTGCTCTGTTTTTCATTGTATTCTACTTTATCTGTGTGAGAATCGAATCTTTCTATGAATAAGAAACAGATCAATGGAGTTGAGAATAAACAAAGGCAATGGAGCAGAGCAGCGCAGCAATGTGTCCACTCGTAAATTTATTTCCTTCATACGTGAGATAGTATATTCCATTACTCCTGGCCTTTGCACTGAAAAGCAAAACACATTTATTTAGAGAGTTTTTGTAGATTTTTAGAAAGCAAATACTACCTCCGTTCTTAAATAAATGCAACACTTTGACTTTTACACTATTCACATGTTCTACTTTGACTACATTGTATTTATTATTGTTAAATATTATTTTATGAAAAAAATATAGAAATTACTTCAAATAGGACTAAAACTATGGCAAAAACTCAAAATAGGACTTGCTATGTTTTTTTCCCAAAATAGGACCATAGTGGTCCTATTGGAAACATACTCATTTCTTCCTTCCATTCTTACCCCTCCTTTAAATATTAGTAAAAGATAGCTAAAAGTCATAATTAAATGTTTAATTCATAATAAATTTGAAAAAATTTCAATAATTTGTAGAAAAATAATAAAAAAATTAATAAAATTTTTATAAAATAAAAAATAAGAAAAAAAATTTTTTTTATTTTTTTTATTTTTGAAAATTAATAAAAAAAATAGTAAAACTCCATAAAAAAAATTATAAAAAATATGGATACCTTTCCCACCGCCTTTAGTACCTCCCTGAACCACCACCTCCGATCGGTGTAAAAAATGCCACTTTTTTTTAAATTCCACAAAAATGGCATATTTTTCTATGAGAATGCCAACATTTTCATTCTGCCAACTTGAATCCTTTTGACTTTTGCCAAAAATATGGCATTCATAATTTTTTTGGCATTTTTTTACCCCGGTGACAGGAGGTGGTGGTACCGCCTCCCTGCACCACCACCTCCGACCGTTAAAAAAAATGTCATATTTCCTACAAACTTCCATTTTTTTTCGGAAAATGCCAAAAATATGGCATATTTCTCTTTGAGAATGCCAACATTTTTTTTCTTCCATCTTAAATCATTCTGAATTATGCCAAAAATATGGAATTCATAATAAATTTGGCATTTTTTCCCAAATGACTAGAGGTGGTGGTGCTGGGGCGGTATAGGCGGCGGTGACAAAAAAAATATTTTTTTGATTTTTTTTTTAATTTTTTTTATTTTTTATTTTTTTTAAAAATATTTTTTTTTAGATTTATTATTATTCAAAATATTTTTATTAATTTTTTGGTATATTTTACGAATTTTCATTATTTTTATTATTTTATTATGAATTAAAACATTCCAATAGGTATAAGGGTATATTTGTCCAAGACAAACATAATTAGTCCTATGGAAACATAGTTTATTTTTTGGTCCTATTTGTGCAAAGTGAATGACTTTTAGTCCTATTTTGATAATTAACTCAAAAAAATATTGTTAAACTTGTCTCATTGTAAATTTTCATAATCTCATTTTTTTTAATTTTTTTACTAATACAAAATCATTTATATTAATGGTCAAAGTTGTGTCTCGGCAAGTGTGATATGTTGACCATTGCATTTATTTAAGAACGGATGAAGTATACTCTTTTCCGGAATTTCCGTCCTATGTAAGTATGTAGCTCCTGTTGACTTGGCTGTACTTTCCTATTTCGATATACTCAGTAGTTTATTTTTCGCTATAAGTTTTTCATTTAACATATTAATTTGTACTAGTATTACTCATTGTTTTATATTACCTCCATCCCTAAAACAACATCTAGTTTGAATTGCGATGTATGACTGACGATAAAGCAATTTGATTCCTGTTCATATTAAAATTATTTTTCGTGAATAAACTTTATATATTCAGAAACTAGATTAAAACCGCTATAAAGTTTGATAAAAATGTAAATTTGATAAAACTTTTATATTTATAAAACAAAATATTAAGAGTAATTAATTTAAGTTAGCCATGTAAATAGTGAATGAGAAAAGTACTTTTTATGTTCTCCCGTTTGATAAAACTTTGTAAACTACATTAAAAGTGCTAGAAAGCATGTTAATTTTGGAACGAAAGGAGTACTTTTTATGTTGTCCCGTTTTTCATTTATATTGGCAGAAACATCGAAGGAATGAACTAAAGGGTGAATTCCCCCACCCAAACTGTTTGTAATGTCCAAAAAGTAGGAGTTTATAAGGTTTAAAATTAGGAGTTTATAATGTTTAAAATTCAGGACTTACAATTTATGACTGGACAAAACACTAGTAAATAGAGCACTTAAAAGGGTTAAAATTAAATTGGGCTCTATGGCTACAGTAAATATGGAGTATCATATTTTCAATGGGAACAAATTGAACACTATGATCACATGAGAATATTATATTGGACACTCAAGTTTTGAATAGATCAAATATTCACGAATTTAACATTCTTTTGGTCATTTTTGAAAACTCATCTATGGTTTTTCATATGCCATCAATGAAAGTCATTAGTTTTCTTTCCTTAATTTTATGTGCCTGAAAATAGAAATAACTTAACTCGTGTATTTAGATTGAACCCAATCGGTGACCTTGTTTTCGGTTTATCAGTCTTAATGTTCAACTTCTTCACCAAACAATAAGGTCAATAGAATAATGCATGAACTTGATTAAAAATGTGGTATTTTCAAATCACCCAAAGGTGAAGTTTTTTTTTGTGACAAGAGTGTTCAGGGTGCTAACCTACAGCAGATAAACTAGCGGCTAGGAGGGTTAATTGTCCTATGCATTGTAAGTTGTGCTCAGATGAAACTGAAAATTTGATTCATATTTTTCATTCGTGCACAATTGCGCAGCAGGTCTGGTTCTTGATGAATTGGGAGTTGCCTACACCAGGTGGAACTATTTTTGCAGGTTGGATTCAGAAGCGCTTTGAATCTGGGAATGAGAGTTTTCTTGGGATTTTATTATATTTTATTGATGGCTGTTAAAGAGGAGTCAAAATTGGAGAGAATATTTTCTATTCATTCGTCTGTGAGAAAGATACAATCGGCCAGCATAAAATACATCAATGCATGCGGCAACTACGTACTGCCTTGCGTGATTACAGGAGAAAAAATAGAAGGAAATAAATGCTATACAATCTTCCCATCTTGATCAACTACTACAAGTACGTACAAAAAAATGTGACACAAAAATAATGTACACAAAAATAAGATATAATATTCCAACACCCCCCCTCAAGATGGAGCATGAGGGTTGTAAATGCCCATCTTGCCGAGTAAGTATCAAAATTGATGAGCACCCAGGGCTTTAGTGAGCAAGTCTGCAGGTTGTTCGGTGGTGGAGGTGTAGGATGGGGCGATCGTACCAGCCTGAATATGATCCCGAATGAAGTGACAATCAAGTTCTATATGTTTGGTGCGTTCATGGTATACAGGATTAGAGGCAATATGCAGGGCGGCTTGGTTGTCACAGTATAGGTTGACAGGTTTAGAGTGTGAGACCCCCAGACACCGAAGCAAATTTTGCAACCAAATGAGTTCGCAAGTTAAGGAGGCCATAGCCCGATATTCAGCCTCGACTGAAGAGCGTGAAACAGTAGCTTGCTTTTTGGTACGCCAAGATATGGGAGATGAACCCAATGAAACGAAGTACCCGGTGACCGACCGGCGTGTGACGGGGCAACTTGCCCAATCAGCATCGCAAAACTCGATAAGAGAAAGAGGGGCGTCGGATCGCAACAAGATTCCCTGCCCCGGACATCCTTTGAGATACCGTAAAACACGAACTGCCGCGTCCCATTGAGCCACCCTGGGGTTTTGCATGAATTGAGAAAATATATGAACGGAATAGGAGATGTCCGGCCTAGTCAATGTCAAATAAATCAATTTTCCAACAAGCCTCCTATAGCGTTCGGGATCAGAAAATAATGGGCTCGAGTCAGATTGCAGCCGATGGTTTTGCACCATGGGGAATGCCACTGGCTTTGTTCCAGATAACCCTGTTTCGGCCAGAATATCAAGTACATATTTCCGTTGGCACAAAAAAAAATCCCAGACGGATTACGTGCCACCTCGAGACCAAGAAAATATTTCATCGCTCCCAGATCTTTCACTGAATACGTGGTAGCGAGAAATTTCTTAAACTGCATTATCATATCTCGGTCGTTACCAGTCACCAAGAGATCGTCAACATATATAAGTATGCATAGTATCCGGTTATCCTTACGCATGGTGAACAAAGAATAGTCGGCATGAGATTGACTAAAACCATATTCTCGTAAGGATGCAGTGAGTTTAGAGAACCAACATCGCGGTGCTTGACGGAGCGCATACAGTGAGCGGAGCAATTTACACACCTTCCCAGACGAAGAGGTAGAATAGCCCGGCGGTAGATGCATATACACTTCTTCATTGAGATCCCCATGTAAAAATGTGTTGTCCACGTCCATTTGATGCAACTCCCAATGGCAAGAGGCAGCTACCGCTAAAATGGTACGAACCGTTACCATTTTTGCAACCGGGGCAAATGTTTCACTATAGTCAATGCCGTGCACCTGTCTGTTTCCACAAACCACCAACCGTGCTTTATATCGTTCCACTGAACCATCGCTTTTATACTTGATTTTGTAGACCCATTTGGAAAAAATAGCTTTCTTGCCGGGGGGCAAGTCCTGTATCTTCCACGTCCCGGTCCGCTCCAATGCCTGAATTTCCCGTTTCATAGCATCCCGCCACTGAGGATCACGAACGGCTTCTCCAAAGCTAGCCGGTTCTTTATTTAGAGAAATAGCTGCAAGAAAAGCTCGGTGCGGGACCGAAAAACGATTATAATTTACATAATGAGTTATAGGATATGGATTACCTGATTCAACCGTGGAAGTAGGGATACCGATGGGGTGAGAGTTTATTCCAACCGTGTTGATCTGCACATCATAGTCTTTATGCCATGTCGGTGCCTGCCTTGATCGTGTCCCACATCGCAAATCACCATCCAGAGTGGATGGGGGTGCTCCATGTGAGTTGACCGTGTGCTGTGAGTGTGAATGCTCGGTTGTATTTGCGTGACCTCTAGACTCCTCATGTGTCCCAGTATGTTGCATGCTGCCATCATCTGTATGTCCTTCATGACACGTGCCAGTGTTATCTAAGTAGTGATGTTCTTCATTCAGCATGCCTTTGTGCATCCCACTCCAGTGCA